CGAGGTTTTCAAGCCTCTCTTTGAGTTCACCTCTGAACAGAAGAAGTAACATGGATCACGAAATATACTGACTCTCCTCGGATGTGATCCTACTTACGAAAAATTACAGTTTACTTATAGCACCCACATTTTTACTTTAGGCAATTATGCATGTACATGTTGTTATCCGGTTCGTAAGTGACTTCGTTACAAAGGAAGACGCGTCACAGGCTCCCATTGGACGATCACTGAAGTTTCGCGTTAACTTCCGGTTCCATGGTTCCAGTAAACGACGATAAATACAGCGCTGTGGTTCATGTGCAGTGGGCGTGGTTTAAACTGAAGTGAAGTCACACTTACGAACCCTAACCCTACATATGTATACTTGTGGGGTATTTCCTTTGTTCTCGTGTACAAAACTCCCACACAACACGGAAAAAACTTAACATCACTGCCATTTCAACCAAATTCTGTTTCCTGAGTTGAAATTTCGACCGTATGTCCCTTATATAAAACACTTCAATCTGCGATGGATGAATGGCACTTGAAAATTTCCCCTTTTTGAGTAAATTTGAAATAGCTATTTCGTGAAATTCTTGTGGGGTACCACTTTAGTACCCCACAAGGATCAAAACTGACCTTGTGGGGTACCTTCCATTGTTCCGGTAACCCTCAAGGCACCATGTACAGGCGCCGGATTGTGTGTAAGAGTTACGTGTGTTTCTTTTTTTCTTTGAAGTTTCTAGCTGTATTGCTTTACAAAAATTGCCGAGGAACGTTGTCCTTACACAGTTCTTTATTTTAAATTGGCATTAAACTCAAACATTAGGGCCTAAACAGGTAAAAAAGGTTTACAGCATCGCAATTACGGGTCAGTGTTAGGGCATTTGCATATACATGAAGTTGCGTGCTTAGACCTAAATTTATGTTACAAAGATTAGGATACTAGTTAGCCTCTGTGCGAAATGAGTGGTGTACGGCTGTGGATTTTCCACAACAGCGTAATAGGGTCTCTAAAACTGTGGCCATAGCCACAAACAGCCGATTGGAAGCATTGCCTTAGACATGACCAAGATGGGGGTAAGCCCTCACCATACGGTTACGGTACAGCTTTTCAGTAACGAAGTGAATTCTCTAAGAGAGTCAACTTTTAAGTTCAGTTTAGAAACAGTGTTTGTGTACCTTGTGCCGGTCTTTCAGTGTGCAGAAAGATATCTGGAAAATAAAGGGGTTTGCCTTCGGTATGATTTGAAGATATTCTTCTTCTTTCTGAGCTTTAATTCTCAGAGAGTTATTACCATCTGATTAGACCTGAACAATTTTATTCAAAATTTATGCAACAAATTATAAATATCCGTTGCAAATCCTTCAAATTGTATTAGAAAAGCAAAAAAATTCGACAATATAGCCGACATAATTATTTGCTAATTGCCCTAGGCGCGAAGGGTAGGCGCGGGTGCCCGCTTTATGCACGCACTGGTTTTCAACGCAGAAACCCTTTTTTACTCCGAAACAAAATGGGCATTTCGGCAGTTAATATGTGCCTTTAGACACCTTTGGCCATTTTGAAATTGACTTAATTATGGGAAATGAGCAATTGATACCCAAGGGCAGGGTGGCGTTAAGTAATTGTGACAACCCTAGTACAGAAACATGCAGATTTCTTCTCTCTGTTTAATTAAACTCATCCTCAGGCAATAAATTATTGATTGCCTGGGCGAATATTGCCGATTAGGATCTCACTGGCTACGCAACATTCCAAAGTTCCGATACCGCGATAATATGGGAACCGAGTATACATGATCACAAATACATGTACATGTTGAATTATAATGTTGAGAAAAAACTTAATGCCTAAATGGTTATGATATTAAGGTTTGAAGTGGTTTTTTGGTTGTTGTTGTTGTTGTTGTTGTTGTTTTGCTTTGTTTTGTTTTGTTGTCATGTATGCACGCGTCGATGCTCACATAAACTAGAATTTTATTAATGAGTTGGTCAGTGTCGTAATCCTTCAAACATTTCCCCAAACGTTTTTCACTGACATGCCACGATTTGCGTTGACCTTGGTTTTTGTCGACCGTAATCGTGAAATATTACTCTCTTCGTGACAACCTCTTGGAGGCGCTCTGTTTAGCCTTGCAATGGATGGTTATAACGAATTGCCTGAATTGGCTGCATTCACACTCAACAGCCGCAGACGCAAAGTGTGTGCGTGTGACCCCATAGTGCCTTACTGTTCAGGAAGTAGTGACCCGGCCCGCAGATAAACTCGTCACTCGCATGCGATTTGCATTTGTGTTTGCTGCCAAAGCTTTGATTTGTAGTAACCTTTGAACTAGCTGGGGTTCTGTGCCTCGCAGTCAGCCGACGGAGGCGTTCACATTGATCAACACCACAGGTGAGTTAGGCACATAGAGACACCAATGTATCTGTATCATTTTAAGGCTGGGTGGGATTAGGTGCAAGTACGTGTATTCAGCGCTTCAAGGCTTACGCCACGGGAAGATAGATCTGCCACAATTACTGTATATAGGTAAAGCTGGAAAACGCTTTCTGTAGAAACTGGCGGTAGGCTTATGCCCAAGTTTCAGGCATTTTGTCGGGCCCAATATCACTCAATTAAGTCTTATTCCCTTCCTATCAAGGTAAACACTCATAAGGTCAACTGGGGCGTATTCTTGACAACTCGCGGTATGCACAACCATTGAATTTCTCAGTTCTAACCGGATGTACCTGTTAAAGCTCATTCCACAACGACTGTTTCATGATTCTGTGTGAGGTCGGGTGTAATGACGACGAGCGATCGTATTCGCTAAGTGTGGACACGGAGCTGAGCGCTAAAAAATCTTTGATTCGTCCTCAATAGAGACGCAGGTTATGGAGTTGACAACGTCCATTTCATGATTTTGGCACCATCATCGGTTGCAGAACGGTCAAAGACTTTGAAAAAACTCTATATTGAAAATAATTAAATAATCATTTCTATTACTTAGTGACATCTAAAGCGGAAGGACACTGAAAGTGCACGTGTAGTCAGTATAGTATGGGGATTTCAGTAGACTTGTGCATGAGCACACCTTCTTCGGGTATATGTCCCATATTTTGACTTTGGGATGGGCTTTTAAATCAAAAAAGAAGTTGGAGGTATTTATCGAGCGTCCCAACAACCAAAATAAATGCTGAAAGAGTACAAAAGCATTAACGTAGTCGTTTTGATGTAAGGTGAGGCCGGGGTTAAGATTCTGTGTAGGGCCAGGCAATTTAAGTCACCGCCCCCCCCCCCGTCCTTTGGAACTGGCAGGTTTACGCCCAGAAATTGTTGCCTTCCGGCACCAACACATCATAAGGAGACATTTCAAAAAATGGCCACATCTGTTATTAATAGCTCATTTCTCAATAACATTTATATAGTAAGATATGTATATACATGTACTGAAGTGGATGTCATTTACGGCCTTTTTTATTAATCTTAGATATTGTTCAGGGTTTGAACCTTTCCTGTCCGCCATGGTGTTGACGGTCTGTGGACATCGGATGTCCCAGCCTGCTCGCAGTGTCTACCTGTTCTGTAAGGTTGCGAAGATTCCGTACGTTGAGAAAAATATCGACCTGGTCCACGGTATGTTTCTTATACAATGAAGGGAATATGTGTAATTTTGAGAAATAAGGTATTTTTATTCATCTATTTATTCTGTTCATCCAATGGAAATGCTCATGACGGGATGAAGTGGTCATTGAGAAGATGATGAAGAAACGTCCAGATTTAGAGGTAAAAGGACACTCATGGTTCTAGGGAAAACCCACGGAATCAGGCAGGAACTGAAAACCCAATCTACATGCTGACCTGGGTGGGATTTAGACCCGGGTCACAGAGGTGGAAGGCGGGGAAAGAGCCACTTTACACTGACCTGACTCCCCTTTTGCGTTTGCTGTTATTGACGCAACCGAAGCAATAGGCTACGTGTGCCTTGCACTTTAGATTTACAAAAGATTCCAAATGGTTTCATTTGTCTGTACGTTAAATCCTGGGGACTTGCTGCCACTCACCCACATTTACTTGGAAAGGGTAACTAACCTCCTTCACCGAATCATGTGAAAGAAGTAGGCCAATCACGTCCACTGACGGGCAACGTATTGTGAATTACCTAATCAGTGCATGTGCGCGCGGTGCACACCTGTCACGCGGAATTCACCCTTGTCATTGTTTAAAAAGTTGGAGTCTTATGAGTGCTTGGAATAATGATGTCACGTCTCCAGGAATAGCCGCCTTTCCCATCTCCCCGTTAAGGGCGGGCCGGTGCAGACCAGGAAACTTGTAGAATAGCGACGTAATGCACTAATTGAAAAATTATTAAGTTCTCTTGTGATCCATGTCTCCATGTCGTCTTTTCAGATGAACAGAGACAGGAAGCCTATCTGGCGATCAATCCGCTAGGCCAAGTACCGTCTATTGTGGATGATGACTTTAAACTTGCCGAAAGGTAAACATGGTCGTAGCCTAAGTGCTAAGGCTTCATTAAATACTGGATAGCTATTATGTGCAGAAAAGCCCCCCCCCCTTCATTAAAAAAATACTTAGAATGGTAAAAATGAAATGGACTCCGGTATCAATGTTCGCATCATTCAATTTGAATTTTACTCTTTGTAGTATCATAGCAGTATTTCCCTCGCATGAATAATAAAATGTTTACCCGGAAATCACTTTTTTGAAAGTGCATTTCTTAATAACATAAAATAATTTTTCCATCATACGTCCTAAAAATTGGAAACTTGAGACGGTTTTTCACGATCCGCACTTGATATTGTTTTGATTTAAGACGTAATTGTGCTAGATTAAAAAAACTTTCTTGATTTATAGAACGTGTAAGTATGACGAGAAAGATGGTCACTACACTATGATGATAATCAAAATATGACAGAATTAGCTCATGTTAGCACAGTTTTCTTGGGACAGTGCATACGAGGTGTGTCGACCAGAAATAAAAGTTAATTCCCGTCTGGTGTCTGCCTCACAGTATGGCGATTTTGAGGTATCTGGCTCGTAAATACAAAGTGGCCGATCACTGGTACCCGGACGACTTGAAGGTAGAGGCCAAAGTCAATCGGTATTTAGACTGGCATCACACTGGTCTCCAGACAGCTGCAAGAGGCGTTTTCCATGACGTGGTATGTACAATATGAAACGTACCTCGCATTAGTTTCAATGATAAGAACTGTACCTGTATAGCTATTGATGATAAGGTCACTCAAGTTTCAAGTTCCGAGCAACACACTCCTACATGGAACACTTTGCATAAGTTTATTTAGCCTTTAATATGTAACTTGAGTTTTCAGGGTCACCCTCCTGAAGACGAACAGAGCACACTGTTCGGAACGTCGAGTGTCCACTATCGGTTCTTCTCAGCACCACGCACTCATAAAAGGGATATTTTCTTGTACATGGTGCAACCCAAGCCTACCTAACTACTTCCACCATGCATAGCTTCAGGTCTTATCAATATGTAACTTTGGTACTCAAGATTTTGATTTGTGTTGAGTACCCCCCAACCCCAAAAATATGAGATCATACAAAAGGGGCGGCTCTATCGTTGGTTCAATTTTCAGATCAAACTTATGGTTGTGTTTGTATCTATGTACCAGTATACTGAGAAATGCCAAGGATTTCTTTTATTGGATTTTTGTATTGATCGTCTCTTTTGAGGTCGTAACGCCGCGACGGACTGGAAAGCCAGTCGACGAAGCCAAACTGGCCAAAGATCTCGAGACGTTCGACAAGACTCTCGGAATCATTGAGAAGGTGTTTCTTGGAGATAAGAAGTATGTTGCGTCGGATGAAATCAGCATCGCCGACATATGCTGCTTATCGGGGGTAATTATCATTCCGTTGTTTACAGACCAACGAGATTCATTTTACCTTTCATTCAAACCAAGACGCTGACGTTTTATCAATGACTCCGCGGTAATTGTAGATATGCAAAATGATGAAAAACGTGTCCTCGAACGCTGACGGCACGTAAGACGTCAACACGCAGAAAGTCGTACAACAGACGCTTCTTGACGTAGTCCCACCAAAATCAATTAACAAAACGACGTCCGAAACTCGGAAATTTGCACAAAATACATTTCTTAAGTGACAATATCGTCTCTTGAAGCTTAACGGATACTTCAGCTTGATGTATTTTGTTTATAGTCTGCTAAATGGGGCTGTGTAAGGAGAAAATAAGCAAAATGAATGGTACTAAGTGGCAGGCACACCTTGTACAGCCATTATGCCTGCGTGCGTGTTTGTACGTATTAACCTTCTTTGGTGGCTTTGAACCTGGTCCAACTTTGCAGACTGTCTGCATCGATTTTTGCGTATGCCACGATAGTGTTTCCATATCATTCGTTGATATAGAAACCAGGCTTAACCCTTTTTGTCATTTGACACTTAATCAATTTTCAGAGCAAAGGTTATTCTCCGGATTGGCTAAAGAAAGTAGGATGAAATTGAAAGCATCATCAAGCGGAAAGAGTCTGTTTAAAATCACGTTAGTTAAAATACCGGCAGTTTACATGTTATGCTTACAATAGACAGTATTTGCCTGCACCTTGTTTGGGGACACACTGGCCTGCGGACTGAAAGACCGCAGAGACTCAAATAAGTGTTTACACCCGTCTTTCCTCTGGTGAATTTTCACACCTTTCCCTTTTTGTTTCTTGTTTGTCAGCTGATGCAAGTCCTTGCGGTCACGAGGACCGATGTGCTAGCCAAATACCCAAACCTCGCTGCCTGGAAGGAGAGAGTTGAGGAGCAACTCCGCCCCGACTACGACGAAGTTTTTAAGGATCTCTTTAAGCACGGCGCCCGACAGCTGAAGAAGTAATGAAACCCATTAATTAATGGCACTGTTACTTGAACGTAATGAGGCAACTTGCCTTCATTCTAGGCTGGCATATAACTAAATTCACGCTAACAGGTACAATGCAGTAATTGAATATGCAAACAAAGAAAAATTCATACATATTCGCAGTAATAGGCCTATGTGCCGAAAGGTAATCTCGTTACTTGTAAATTTGAGCAACGTATTCTCGGTTTTTTATTTACTAGGTGTAAGCAGGAAGCTCACATTAATGCAATTAATTTTGATGTATAGTGTAATTCGACGACCAGAATTAGAAGCCATTACTGCAGTCACACAACGCTCGTGGACAGGTGGTACGCATGTGTTACATGCGCCTTTTACCAATAGGGAGTCGTAATTTGCCACACGTGCGTCCGACTGAAGAATGTTCGTGAGAGTGCAGTGCCTCCGTAGTAATCCTGACGGCGCCTAATATTTGATTAGTCTGTCCACCTCGAGCAGAAGCACCCCCTCATCGGTTGGTCGGGAGTTAATTTTCTTAGTCGTTCGTGAACCAGCGAAGTTCAGTTCCAACGATAGGGGTGCACCCACGCAAAAAGGCCAGAAATATGTCGGCTAAGCTCATTAATGAAAGTTATACACTCAAAATACGCTGTATTAGAGAGTTGTATGAGAGGCGTGGAATTGGGCAATGGAATAAAATATGGCACTGAACCTCTGGCCCGGAATCAGAGGTTCCAATTTTGAGAATTTGGATGTAATGGGGTCCGAAATTGGCACTGTTTAGCCGATGTTTAGCTAAAGATTGTGAGGGGAGCTGCTGAATTTTCCTTGGAAGCCGCATGGACGCCAAATGTGTTACTTTTTTGTATATGGCCAACTGATTTCTGTTTTACGTACAGTACAATGACCATCAGTGATTTGGTGCCATGCACGGATACATATGAAGTAAGATATGGGACGGAGAGCACACCTGCCCCCTTTTGTTGGTCATTGTTCGATCGTAATCTCAGGAATTCGTTTAAGACATCTGGGGGACGTGTTAGGGGTCAATAGTCTAGAGTGTGTATAGGGATTGGACATGTAAGGGGGATACCCCCTCCGTCCCACGGATGTAACCCCTCGTGACCTTGCATTTGAGTTTGTTGGCAGAAGCACAGACTCTTCCTGTACTGAGCAATCTTACCACAAAATAAGCTCATGTACCGTCTTCCGACTCACACACTTTAGGTTAGAACAGTTTTAGAACGCAGAAAGGCGTCAGCATGTCCGTTGTGGGGGTTAGGTCCCAGACGTAATGGTAAGACGCTGAAAAAGGAGCTTGTCACTTCCATGTTGTGCTGTTCCTCACCTGTTGAACGCAATGGTATATTTACTACGCGATCATTTGCTTTCTCACGGTGTAAATTGCCAACGTAGTTCCAACTTCAATGATACGATATCGAATATAAGTCCGAGGGAGCCAGTAATGTAAAAAAAAAAAGCTCGTGTAGTATTCGAATAGTATTATAACGGTAAGATAGAATAATTGCTCATAAAATTATTATTTGTTGACTTAATAATAACAACTGGAAAAGTGCCCTGGAGGTATTTCAGACGTACACACAAACAAATGTTGACCTCCATTTCCACCCCCAGAAACATATCCCAAATAAATGTCCTAAACCTTATCCTCATCGACAGAAATCCTTATCCTCATCGAACATTCGCTTGGAATCTATCCCTGCTTTTCCGGACAATATAGGGTGCTGTTGCCATGATGTCAACCAGGGAGGGCTCTGCTCAGTTTATAGGTTTTCTGTTAAAATTTTGCTATTGAAAACTTTCCTGAGGAGCGGTATACGTTGTTAGTTGGCTTGTTGCCAGATCCTCAAGCCGTTAGTTGTCAATAAAGGAAATTTGGGCAGCGAAGACCTGTGTTACACATTCCACCGGTTTTCATGCACGCATCATGTCAGTGCAGCAGTGGTCAAGATTTCTCCCTACAACGTCGTCAGTTTTTCACATGAATGTGGCAGTGCTTTGCATAAAACGCTAAAAAGGCTCCGAAATACCTTTGAAAATAGCAAACAAAATTACAAAATGAAGGTTGAAAAGAAAATGTGGTGTTTCCAAGGATGACTGTATACCAGTTTAATTATGCATGTATATGAAGGAAAATTTTCCTGATATGACCATAAATTATGAGTGCTATGTGTCCTCGAGACACTATTTATTCTAGTAATTTGACCACTTCTAAAGTTGTTTTGACTAATTGGACGCCATTAATTTTTCTTCAGATACTGTTCAGGTTTCGAACCATTTTTGTTCACTATGGTACTGACGGTCTATGGATATCCTTCCTCACAGCCTGCTCGCAGTGTTTTTCTTATTCGTGGATGCCAAGATTCCGTGCGTTTAGAAAAATGTAACTTGAGACACATTATATTTTTATCAGACGAGGAGAGAATTAGACACGCAGCAAAGTATAAAGAAAAGAGGTCCAACTTTAATTCCAAAAGATGCCAGTTGCTCAATGGGGTTGTTCACTGACATAACAACGCAAGGGCCCGTAGAATCCATTCGTGAAACGGGCCTTGTACGGATCGAGCGCGGGAATTCGTGAAAGAAGTTCCTCACTGCTACTGACTCGCATTTTGTCTTGGTTACTGAGTGACTCGAAATTGAAGCATTTCTCACGGTAACTCACCTAGGCAAAAGCATTTCTCACGGTAACTCACCTAGGCAAAAGCATTTCTCACGGTAACTCACCTAGGCAAAAGCATTTCCACAATTTAGAAAAAACAGGCTTCATTTTCAGAAACACAAAATTGCCATGGACTCGATTCACACACCTCTGAAATAGTTTACTTGAAGATCTTGCAGAAAAACAATTTTGCTTACAGAACCGCCGCCTTGGCGACGATCGTTTTTCACCGGTCGTGGTTCACGAGAGCATGCAGTGCGTGTGCGTTCTGCACGATGTTTCGTCTGTCGCTCCGCTTTTAAACGATCATTATTTTGTTGTTTTTTGTAACCCAAATCCATGCTGCTATTTTATCAGCTATCCTACCGTGAAAATCTGAGTTCTGTATGTAGTGGGGAGGGGCATATTGAGCACAATTTGACCTTTGACCTAAAAAGAGAAAGGTCATTAATATGCATAAGTATAATAATAATAATATGATATTGATATGAATAGGAATGAGGTGCGGGGTGAAAAATTATAGTACAGAATGACCTTTGGTAAAGGATAAACATAGGATAAGGTCAGACAGTTTGGTACAGGTTTACCCTGGTGTGTGGGATAAAATAGGAGTAAGGCATAGCACGGGGTAAAAACATTCTATGGTAAATTCCTTGTGTAAGTTATCCAAAACAATTATGGATTTGGCGCACGCGTGGCGAGCCACGCGCGCAAGAGTCTTGACCCCGTCTTGACCTGTCTCGTATCCAGGTGCCAACTTGTGGTTTTAGTTATATATCCAACGATACTAATATATTTAGGACGAAAGTAAAATAAATAAAAAATGAAACAAACATATAAAGGACGCACACGGTAGAAGTCGTTAATTTTCACTCGTCGAATGGGATTGAAACATGCGTGAGAGGCACTGGTGCCAGTGTCAATGTACGCGATTAAAACTGACACTCGTAGCAGTAGGCCTTTGCCCATTTCATGGAAAGCAGGGTTTTAAAGGAGGTTGTCAACTACTTCTGGTACATGAACGTTCACATTATTTTCCAGCTCTTGAGCCATGGTTCAGAATCACAGCTCCACTCATTTCGACAAATCTCTATTACAAGTATAAAATGTTGTGACGTCTACCGTATCATCAAGAGTGTAATGGGAAAGAGTTCCATAAGAGTTACAAGCAACACTAATTTTCCCTTAA